AGGTGCTTGGATCAAACTAATTACATCTCTTGGAGAAAGTTCTGCTAGGTCCCCCACCTCGTGCCACAGTGGAAGTAGCTTCTTTCAGCCTTCCTTCTCCTAAAGCTCAAATCATTCATTTTTAAAACACAGTATGACTAACCAGAATTGTTATTACCATTATTAAACCAAGCAAATCTCCAGTTTTTACTTTCCATAGGAACTATATTGCTTCAAAATTTCTACCAGTACTTTAAATATAGCAGTAATGGTTTGTCCTCACCATCTCAGACCTTCTGAATTGCAGATAGTTTCAACATAATTTTTCCACCCTGTTCAACCCAATAGTGAGGCTTTCCATTATTTAGATATCAATATTCAAATTCAGGCCAATAACCCATCTACCAAAATCTTATTATCTTTTCTGATATGCCATTCTAGAACATTCAACAGCATCGATGGAATGAACTGTTGGAGTTGAGCTGAAAAGTGTTCAGGAGACCCCTCTAAAGAACAACCCAGAGCTTGTTCCTACTCACATCAGCTGTCAGGACGCATGGTTCCAGGTTTTCCATGTTCAGCAGAGGATTCTTGTGAATATAAGGCAGAATCTCTTTCTTGGAGGTGGGACACTCAGAATCGTTTGGGGTTCTCCTGGCTAGAGGAAGCAGGGCCTACTGCCATCCTCTTGTTTGAAGTTCTGCTGGGAATATATAACCCCCAATCTCTCCAGCATTGCAGAAGTCTCAAGCTACAAAATCAGGTGAGGGGCTGATCACAGTGCAGGCCTTGTCTGTCTACAGAAGGTTTTAGTATGTGATAAAGCAACACCTTCCTATTGTTCTAGGATTAGTTCCCAGTCAACAGAACAGCTCCCCTGGAGCTCCCCCGATCCTTCCTTCCTTCCTTCCTTCCTTCCTTCCTTCCTTCCTTCCTTCCTTCCTTCCTTCTTTCTTTCTTTCTGCCTTGAGCTTCAATAGAATGAGTCATTGGCCTGGCAAAAGAGGAACACATTGAAGAATTTTCTCTCTGTGTTATTGTGATCATCACAGCAACCCCCCCACCTCACACAATACAAGCATAGACTAGGGCATTGTGGAGGATGCAACAGGGTTGTCAGAACACCGGCACAGCGGCTGAAAAATTAGCAAGGAAATAGCCAGGTTCTAATCAAGACAGCATTCTAAAAAGCAGAGACATCACCCTGCCAACAAAAATGCGTAGAGTCAAGGCTATGATTTTTCCAGTTGCAATGCGTGGCTGTGAAAGTTGGACCATAAGAAGGGCTGAGCGCCGAAGAATTGAGGCTTTTGAATTGTGGTGCTGGAGGAGACTCCTGCGAGTCCCTTGGACCGCAGGGCGATCAAACCGGTCAGGCCTAGAGGAGATCAACCCTGACTGCTCTTTAGAAGGCCAGATCCTGAAGATGAAGCTCAAATACTTTGGCCACCTAATGAGAAGAAAGGACTCCCTGGAGAAGAGCCTAATGCTGGGAATGATTGAGGGCAAAAGAAGAAGGGGAAGGCAGAGAATTAGGTGACTGGATGGAGTCACTGGAGCTGTTGGTGTGAGCTTGCGTGGACTCCGGGGGATAGTGGAGGACAGGAAGGCCTGGCGGATTGTTGTCCATATGGTCGCGGTGGGTCAGACACGACTTTGCGACTAGCAACAACAACAACAACAACAACAACAAGCCAGGCTCTAGGCATTTTAATGATGCAACATGCTCTGAGGAACACTTGGAGAATTTCTCCTTCCCCTTGTGAAATGCACCGACATGTCAGTTCTCTCCCACCCCATGGAAAGACCGGAGAATTTCAAAGGGCCCTTTCTGCACAGCTCTGCATGGGGGAGCTGCCAGCTTCCTGGCAAAAGCAGAACCTAGATGTGGTGAAGAAACATCATGCTTTGGACAATGCTGAGAAGAAACTTAAACTAGTGGCTCACTGAGTATTGCCTGGAATGGACAAGGAAATGTGGAACAGGTTACCCGAAAGAGGACAATCTGGGATAGCAAGAAGCTAAACTTTCAATATTTCCTAGAAGGGCAGGACTGCACAGATCCACTAACATTTCTGGAGTCCAGTCGCCATTTAGTATATCAGTGTGCTTCTCCTGTGACCAAAAAGAAGTAGAAGTCCTCTATTCCAAGTGTGTTCTTATCTTTAAATGGAGATCTGCTTCTGATTCATAACCACCTTTAATTAGGTCCTGGCACCTTCTCCACACGGGCTACAAGGGAGAGAAATTAAATTTAATGGAAGCCACCCTTGCTTTGAAGCTGCCTATAACTTAAGGCTATTGGGAGAAGCAATTAAAATGCAAACACTACAGGTCTCTACCATTAACTACATGTTCACAGGTGACTTTTTAAAAAGAAGGCTTTTTTTTCCTTAGTTGAGCTTAAATTTCACAGTCAAACTGGATAGGTTTCCAAAGTAAGCTTTGAGAGTTTATAGATAGGAATATCGATAGCTATATTGTTGTTTTTAATAGCAGGAGTATTAAACGTTTTTCTACTTTTTTTTAATGCAACAGAGCTTAAAATATAACACCACAATAAAAGAGCAACAATGGGTTGGATGAAAACTTACATCGTTAGAGAAGATCCATTGAAATGAGAGATATCAGAAATCTGAATCAGACCGAGGTTTTCAGGCTGAAATGATAACAGCTTCCACAGGAGATGAGCATCTTTTGACTCATGCACTTTTTTCAAACTTTCCTGAATTGTACACAAATTTAATCATCTCAAAACTTGACGCTTGCTAGGAAACATGCTAATATCCATGCTATTTTAAAAACCAACAAACAAGTAAGCCACCCCGAGGCTTCGGCGAATGGGGCGGCATAAAAATGTTTTAATAAATAACAAATAAATAAATAAAATAAAGTTCAATTTTTTAAGCATGCCTAGCTTTTTTCGGCCCTTGCTGTGTAGCAGTTCTACATGTACGTACGTAAATAAGTACTCTAGCCTTTGTGGTTATGCACTATCAAATCATCTTCAGCTTTTGGTAATCTTAGAAATGAGTGGACTTGAACATATCTGGCCCTTGGGCAGCCCTGCTCAGTTCTCAGAAATGCCAGGCTGTAACTTCCATTATGGAACTGATCCATAATGTCTCCCTCTTCTTGTTCCTTTGAGTTTGATTTATTTAAAACCTTTATATCCCATCCTATTACTGACATCTGGAGGTGCTTTACAACAAGCACAAATAAGATAAAAATGGTACAACATCCAGTGATAAATATTAAATCCATAATTAAGACCAATTAATAATTAAAATAATGGGAGAGTAAAAAGGTTTTCACTTGGTGCTGAAAAGAAAAAAGCACTAGTGCCAAGCAAACCTCTCTCTCTGTGGAGCATATTCCATAATTGGGGCACCACCACAGGGAAGGCCTTCTTCCGGGTAGCCACCCTCCTGATCTCTTTCAAGGAGGGCCCAGAAGAAGGACCTCCGCCTCAAATCTTGGGGGGCAGGAGGCAGATAGGGAAGGGCAGATAGGACTTTCCATAGCACAATTGTCTTCTGCACTGAATCTTGCCTTCTCATGATGTACCCGACGTACAACAGTCTCAGTTTCATCAGTTTTGCTTCCCAGGAAAGTTCTGGATGGATTTGACCTAGGCACCACTTGTTTGTCTTTGTTTGCCCAGAGTATTCACAAAGCTCTCTCCCCAGCGCCATGTTTCAAATGCATTTATTTTCTTCTGGTCAAGTTTCATACCCATACACAGTGCCTGGGAATTCAAGAGTGTGAATCATTTTGGCCTTGGCCTCCTATGAAAGTCCTTATGTTTGATGATCTTCCAAACCTCAGTCTTAATCTGATTTTGTGGCTGCAACCTCTGTTATAGATAGGTAGATGCAAAATGTTATGTGCCAGTGAAAGTTAAATAAACTCCTAAGCTTTTTACGTATTTTCACAAAAGGTGGAAATCCAACTCCATCTATGAGTGTCCAATGGAACAAAAGGCTCCTGATAATATAGAATGCGCTCCCCAGAGAGGTCCACCTGGCGCCGACGTTATACTCCTTCCAGTGCCAGGTCAAGACCTTTTTATTTAGCCATCATTTTAACAATTAAGGGTTTTAGACCTTTTAAGATTTTTCATTTTCTTTTTGTTTTCATAGTCGCACTTCCTATTTTATTTTCCCTTTTTAACTTTTAGTTTATAATGTTCAATTTTAGATGTTTCAATAATTGTGGTTTTATTATTGTATTTCAGAATTTTATGCTATGTAAACTGTCCTGAGTGCTTGTGTGGAAGGATGGGATACAAATGTGTGTAATAATAATAAATAAATAAAAATGCAAAACCCACAACAGAACAAATAAATTCCATACCTTCCTAATTAAAATCAGTGGGACTTGTCATGATTTCCTCATCCCATGGAGTGCAACGTCCTATTCTAAGCATAACTGAGTGTGACTTCAGGCCATTGTTCATAACAACCTCAGCTAAAATGGCACAAAACTTGATCCTTTGGAAGTTTCCTTAGAAGGAAGGGTCCCCTTTGTCCAATGGATACCTCAACACAGTGGGACATTCTTAATTGCAAAAATACATCTGTAAATGTTGAAGCTTTCCAGAAAAATGAAGCCTGAGCTTGCAAGTTCCAAAGAAAGAAAGAAAATACATGGGGAGTCCCTGATTTCCTAACTTGCCCTCCCCAACCCCCACTTTACACGTCTGCTGCTGTCTTCCCTGCGAACCGATCCTCCTCATTCCTCAAAGTACCTTTGTTGAGATGCTCATCCATTCCCTTAACAATCCATCCTTTAAGCATTTTCACAAAGAAAAGGTAGAACAGGTAAGCTGGAAACATCCCTCGGAGCCCCTGAATTAGCTTCTCCATGGGGCAGGCCAGATGGAAATGTCTGTCCACAAGAGGTGCCATTGTGTATGACATCATCACTCTAGAACCTGCAGCCTTAGACATTCTGCTTGGCCTCCAATCCCATCTTCTTAGCAAGCAGCTTCTCCAAGTGGGCAATAAACACGCCAAAGAATGTCTGATCCCAAATATCTCGACATCCCAGCCGTGATCTTTGATAATGGGTCCGGTTTATGCAAAGCCGGTTTTGCTGGGGACAGCGCCCCCAGGTCAGTAATCTCAGCCATCGTTGGCCGTTCCAAAGCCAAAGCCACAATGCTGGGAGCTGGCCAGAAGGAGTATTACATTGGACAAGAAGCTCAGTCCAAGAGGGGAGTCTTGTCCCTGAATTACCCCATTGACCACGGCATAGTGACATCTTGGGATGACATGGAGAGGATATGGAGGCATGTGTATGAGTGTGAACTGAGAATCAAATCCAGCGACAGGCCAGTGTTGCTGACAGAAGCTCCACTGAATCCTCTACAAAACCGCGAGAGGATGACCGAGATTATGTTCGAAAACTTTAAGGTGCCGGCTATGTTTGTTGCTGTCCAAGCTACGCTAGCTCTGTATGCATCGGCGCGCACCACTGGAATCATCATGGACAGTGGAGACGGGGTCACGCACACCGTCCCGATCTATGAAGGCTACTGCTTGCCACACGCCGTCTCCCGGTTGGACATTGCCGGGAGGGATATCACCGAATATTTCATGCGGCTCCTCCTGGAAAGTGGGCATTCCTTTGTCAGCACAGCCGAAAGAGAAATTGTGAGGGACATCAAAGAGAAACTGTGCTACGTGGCCTTAGATCCCATCCAAGAAATGAAAGCCAAGCCGGAGTATCTGCTGAGAGAGTATAAGCTGCCCGACGGGAATGTCATCTGGATTGGCAGCCAGCTCTTTCGAGCCCCCGAGGCACTTTTTGCTCCCTCGAACATCGGCGTTGATGCTCCCGGCATTCACAGAATGCTTTTCAACAGCATCATGAAATGTGACATTGACGTCCGCAGAGATCTTTATGGAAATATTCTCCTATCCGGAGGTTCCACCTTGTTCTGTGGACTGGATGAACGCATCTTGAGGGAAATGCAGCTTCAGGTGCCAGTTGGGATATCAGTAAGAATCATTGCCCCACCAGAAAGGAAGTACTGTGTGTGGATCGGGGCCTCCATTCTGGCTTGCTTGACATCTTTCAGACAGATGTGGGTGACCCTCAATGATTACCATGATTTTGGCCCTGGTGTGGTTCACCGGAAATGTTTTTGAGGATTTTCTTCCTTATGGACCTCTCTGGAGCACACAAATGGCCACAAATAGATGGCTCTATATGATCAGGGTGGGAAAAGACTCAGCTTTCTTCAGATTTATTGACTGGATGGAATTTACAAGAAAATAAATAATTAGAGAAGAGCCCATTGGGGCCAAGGTGGCTTTTCATTGGCATCTTTCCAACTCATCTTGGAGAAGATTCATGATGTGCTTTCTAGCTTGATATGATATCCTGATTTGCATAATTGAAAATGTGCTGGGAGAAAGTGCTGGAAAGGAACCACCAGCAGGAAATGTGTCCATAAAGTTTGTCACTTAACCTACTCCCACATCCTTTATACAACTCTTTGAATGAATTCCTTCATATGACATTACTGTAGTATGGACCACCCTTTCCCACACCAATGAGAGATGAGGATTAAAGGACCAAACTGGGTAGGGAGAACTAAGTGCTCATGGAGGATTAGGTGAATACAGAAGCGCCATGGTTTGGATCCAGACTTAATCATACGTAGAACAAGCCACATGTTAATCATGACCAACTTAACACCCATTTATTTCAATGGGTCCACTGTATGGATACGTATCTCTGGACCCAACTCAATGTCTTAGACAAAATATCATGGTACATCATTCATGTTCCCATGCAATGATATGACTGTCCCCTCATTCGACTATTTATGCATGTTCACACCTACACAAAGCTCTGTTCACAGGCTCGTATTGCAGAGGACTGGGGGCCAAGACCGAAGAGGATGACTGCTCCCCTCTGCCAGCTTGTGCTAATGTCTTGATGAAGAATTTTTCTGAGGGCTATGGACTTGCACTGAAGTCTAATCCATTCAAGATGAATCCAGAGGTGGAGAACCTCTACTTCTAGTCCATGGGCCAAATGAAAACCTCCAGAGCTCTCTTTCTGGTCCTCCAAGATCTCTTACCCCTAAAGCCATGCATACTGAGCAAAGGTAGGATTTCTATATATAGCTCCATCAGCTTTTGGCTTATGCCTCACTCACTGTTGGAATGAGCACCCTAACGAGTTCTGATTGAGGTAATGCAGACCTCCATGAGTTAAAAAAAAGTAACTCCTTCACTGCCTTCATTGGGACAATCCGGCGACTTCGCATCTTGAGCTTCCACAAATCTGCTGGTTTCCTGGAGACTACCCAACAATCCCTATCAATGACCTCATCCATTGTGAAGTACCGGCTACAGACAACAGTTTCTGGTTGCCTTCGACAGGAGACCGACCGCTCTTCCAGCGTGTCCTGCTTCTTTCGAGACACCAGAAGTCGTGTCCTTGAGTCTTTGACACCGTAAGTCTCCTGACATGCCAACCCGGTCAAAGTAATTTGAAATGGGACACAAGGGGGCTGGGTTCAAGTCTAGAGTTTACAATGCGCAAGCAGTGGTTATTGACAATGGCTCTGGAGTGTGCAAGGCAGGATTCTCTGGAGAAGTCGGTCCACAGAAAGTCATTGCCTCAGTTCTTGGATGCCCCAGAAGCAAGCTATCCCTATCCAAGGCCAAGCAAAAGGAATGCTACATAGGGGAAGAAGCCCAGAGTAAGCGAGAAGCATTGGCCTTGAGGTACCCCATAGAAGGTGGCTTTATTAACTCGTGGGATGACATGGAAAAGATCTGGAAGTACATCTACGACAAAGGGCTGGGAGTCAAACCTTTCGAGAGGCCTCTGTTCATGACTGAATCTCCGCTGAACCCGAAGGAGGATCGAGCCAAGCTCACTCAACTGATGTTTGAACGCTTTAAGGTCCCGGCTTTCTACCTCTCCGTCCCAGCCATACTGTCTCTCTACGCTTCAGCACGCTATACAGGGGTCGTGATGGACAGCGGCTTTGGCACCAGCCTTGCTGTGCCAGTTTATGAGGGGTACTGCTTGCCCCATGCGGTCACCAGGCTGGAACTTGGTGGCAAAGATGTCACCGCGCTCCTGAGAGAACTTCTCCTGGAAAACAGACACTTCTTCCGAACCTTCCCAGAAGGGAACAACTTTGCGGAGGACATCAAAGTGAAGCTGTGCTTCGTGGCTGTGGACTCCAGCCAGGAGCAGAAATCAAAGTTGATCCCCAAAGAGTATGAACTTCCCGATGGAAACAGGATCAAAATTGGTGACCCTCTCTTCCTAGCACCAGAGATCCTGTTCACACCCAGCAGCATCCACAGAAATGGGCCGGGCCTCCACAAAATGATCGCCAGGAGCATCAAGAAGTGCGACCCCAGCATCCGCCGTGATCTTTACGGCAACATGCTGCTTGCCGGGGGTTCCTCTCTCTTCCCAGGACTGGATGAGAGGGTTTTTAAGGAGCTAGAAAATCAAGTTCCTCAAGGGGTCCCCATCAAGGTAATCTCACCCCCCGATCGGTGGTTTTCAACATGGATTGGAGGCTCCATCATCACATCTATGAGCACCTTTAAGCAGATGTGGGTCACTGCCACCGACTACAGAGAATATGGACCAAACATTGTACAGAGGCGGTGCTTTTAAATACAATTTAGGGATGCGTTGGCACGCTAGTCTTTTAGTTGGGCCGAACTGGCAGTTGCAGGTAGCTTTAAGTAATGAATCCATCTCTTTTAAAGGTTTAAATAAAAATGCTTTTACAAGCTGTAACCAGTCACGTGGGGTTTGCCGATCATTTCCTTGGCTAAATGCCGTTGGATTCTTTTTGCAGAAGTACTCTTTGTCCCCCATTCACAGCCCACAAACTGTCTCCACAAGACAGGTCTCTGTGCATGGGCAAAGTTCATTGAACTTTGGAAACTACATGGACTATGGCAATGCATTCTGTGTGGGGCTGCCTTTAAAGATGGTGTGGACATTCCAACTTGTTCAAAACGACTGCACAAGGGCTACCAAGGACTAGTGAATGGGCCCATATCAAACCAGTTCTGTGCCATCTACGCTGGCTACAAGTGGAAGTCCAGGCCCAATTTAATGTGTTTGTACTTATGGATGAAGTCCTAAGCAGATTGGGTCCTGGGTGCCTGAAGGACTGTGTTCCTACCCATCCATTAAGACCGAGTGTGGAGACTCTTCTCAAGGAGCCATCCTCTAGGAAGGTGTTAGCTAGAAGCAGGGCCTTCTTGGTGGTTGGCACCACACTTGGGAAATAGGTTCCCTGGAGAGGAGCACCTGGTGCCATTGCTGCTACCTTTTCAGCTCCAGGCCGAGACATTCCTTCTTTCAGCTATTTTAGTAATTGATTTTAGTGGTTACTTTAACCGAGCCTATTTTTTATTTAAATTCAAAGTTGCTTATTTTGGTGCATTTATGTGTTGTCTTAATTCTGCCATTTTGTGCTTTTGTATTTCAGATTTTGCTGTTAATCTGGTTAATATGTTAATTTTATTTCTGATTTTGGACTGTTGTGTAGTCTTGATTATTGCGAGTTGCATGGATGGCTCAGATGTGGGTTATTGTAGCAGCATACAAATGAAAATAAATGAATAAATACCTAAGAATCCTCCTTTTCAGTAGCCCTGGGCTTCATCTCTCCATGTGTGCCCTTCTGGAGAAGAGCTGGTTCTTTTGGCTCTCTCCCATGTCCCCTTCTCACATTTCCAAACCCTGCCTGTTCCCATGGTCTGACAGAACATCTGGAGATGGCAGCCTTGAGACAACTTTATGCTCCTCCACCATCTCAATTTCCCCAGTCAGTACCTTCCTGACCCTAAAAGCACCCCAGGATAACCTCCTCATTCATTCGCGACATCTGGATGGATTTGTTTGTGCAAAAGGCACGGTAAGTACAATTACTCTTTTAATTAGTAGATTCCATTCAAGTCTCTGCCTTGGAAGAAAAGTCATTTGGATCACTCTAAAATGTGGACTTATCCAACCGGTACTTTCTGAACTGATGCATTAACTGGAATGTAGTCATACAAGGGTATATGCACTTTCCTAAAATTTGCAACACAGATTGCAAATCTGGAAATCTACATGATAGGGGAAAGTGTGAACAAACATGCATAATTTTAGGAAAATTACTTGCTGAATGTGCCTGTCTTGAAATGTGCACAAACTAGTTTTAGACCCGTGCATAAAACATACATGGATTTTCGTGAGGGAAAACAAAAAGGGAATGAAAAACGTCTCAGGTAATGCATGCTGGTTGACTGATTGCAGGGGAGATCAGAAAACTAGGGGTGGGGAAGAAGTGGATGGCAGACAGAGACAAAGAGGAAAGGGGGAGCAAGAAGTCGGAGATGATTCCTCACTTCTGCTTTCGGGATTCTCATATTGGACAAAGAAAGTGATGCTGCTATGGTCCACTCACCTGAAGGAAGATGAGATTTTGGGAAAGATCTGGAGTGGGCCCAGAGCAGGAGGTTATGAGGTCCAGACTTCAAGTGTGCGGTAGGACTTTTCTGCCTCACGTGCCCTGTTGGCTCTGATTGTACCAGCAGCTACTATGCTCCCATCTCATCTTTCTTGCTCCAAGGAGCTGGGACATGGAGAACCACCTTCCCTTCCTCCCTCTGGAAGATGGAAGCAAGCTCAACACGGGCACCCAGAATCCTTCAGGCACCAACAGCCCCCTTCCCAGAGCCGAGGCCTACTCTGGGCCCCCCCTTTCAAATTAAGGATAATTAAATCTCCCACAATACCACTGAGACGCAATTGCATCATTACAAGCTTCTGATGGTGGTCCAATAAGTTAGAGGACCTGGAAAGGGGGCAGTTCGTTGAAGGGACAAATCTTTCCTTCCCCCACCACAGCACTTTTATTGAAAAGGGGAAATGTTTTATAGGAAAGAAAAACTACTGTGTTGACTGTAACAGCTGAACTGTGCTGAGAAAGAAGTGAAGTCAGTGTGATATCATTCAAATTACCCAGGAACACAAAGATTTAGCAGCTTATAACAGATGAGAAAAATGGACACCATGCATCCACAAAAGACCCAGAGGTATCCTGTATGTTATAGGCGACAGTTTTGTTACTTTGTCTATTCAAGTCTATCAAAGCCAAAAGTCCTATTTGTCCCTAGCATTATTGAACTGTGGGAAAATCTAGACTGTTTGACTTGCCTGATCTTTCCTTGCACCTTTTGACATCACAATGCTTTTCTGATGTCATCTCAGTTTTGAGCTCCATCAGCTGCAGCACAAAGCCAAGAACGCGGGCTACTGTTTGCTTTTTGCTCCGTGACGGCTTCCTCGGTGTGAGTGAAAATTTCACTAAGGGAAAGAGGATGGTTCAGCCCCACTTCTTAACTAGGCAGTTGTGAACTTGCATCTCTTCCTCCCAAGTGCAGCCTTTTTCACATCTTTGGAGATGAAGGAATCATGCTTCTTCTCATCCATGGTACATTGACTCCTCCTTCTTGAGCCTGGAACATTAAAGCAGCCCGTCATTGGGAGACCTCTCTGATCATCCAGAACTGGTCCCTGGCTTCTTAAAGGACTTTCCGAAAGAACACGCAGCATGCTTGTGCATTAAAAAGGGGAGGAAAGAGCAACTGCCAAAAGGAAAATCCTCTTTTGTGATGTCTCGTAATCTAGAATATTGATGGCCAACAAGCATTCCGTTTCACCAGAACACAAAGGCAGAGGAAGTGGGTTTGAAAAACCAGTTCCTTTATCTTTGGAGCAAGAATGACTCAACCAAGAATATCACAACTCTCGGCTGTCATCATCGACAATGGATCAGGATTGTGCAAAGCAGGGCTATCTGGCGAGCAGGAACCAAGAGTGGTTGTTGCCACCATAGTCGGCTATCCCAAGTCCCGATCCATTATGTTTGGCCCAGTTCAAAGGGGGAGCTACGTTGGCAAAGAAGCTCAGGACAAGAGAGGCATCTTATCTTTAAAATACCCTGTGGAACATGGGATTGTAACATCCTGGGATGATATGGAGAAGATATGGAGGTACATATACAAACGTGGACTCCGGATAAGGGCCTGGGAGAGGCCAGTACTGTTGACAGAAGCCCCGTTGAATCCAGCGCCAAACAGAGAAACCATGACCGAAATCATGTTTGAACATTTCCAGGTGCCTGCAATGTTTGTGGGGCTGCAAGCGATGATGGCCCTCTACGCATCTGCTCATACAACGGGCTTAGTCTTAGACAGCGGAGACGGTGTCACGTTGACAGTCCCCATCTACAAAGGCCACTGCTTGCTTCATGCCATTTCTAGGATGAATTTTGCTGGCCGGGATATCACAAAATATTTAGCCACACTTCTCTTGGAGAGTGGGTACGCCTTTTTGAGCAGTTCTGAGAAGGAGATAGTGAAGAACATCAAGGAGAACCTGTGCTACATCACTTCAGATGCAGACCATCAGAAGGAGAAAGGATTGGTTCATCAGTATATCCTCCCTGATGGGAACCCTGTTCAGATTGGAGACCAGCTCTTCCGAGCCCCAGAGTCCCTTTTTAACCCAACTGATGCTGGACTCGCAGCACCTGGAATCCACCAGATGATCTTGGACAGCATTTCCAGATGTGATGGGAGCATTCATCAAGACATCTGGAGGAATGTGATCATGGCAGGTGGATCCACGCTTTTCCCTGGTCTACATGAAAGACTTCTGAAGGAGCTCCGGGCTCTTGCACCCAAGGGATTTCCAGCCAAAGTTGAAGCACCAAATGACAGGCTCTATTCTGTGTGGATCGGAGCCTCGGTGCTCACCAGTTTGCCTTCCTTTCAGAGCATGTGGGTTACTCGGCAGGAATACAAGGAGGTTGGTTCAACTGTACTGCAGAAGAAATGCTTCTGAAAAGAATAAATGGCCAACCAGAAAGGCCAAAGAAAAAAAAATAGTCAATCGGAACAGCTGGGGAGTGGCTAGTAAAGCTTTTCACAAAGAATTAATGTGCTGCAATTTTATAACATGGTAAAAAAAGATCCCCTGTGTGTTTGGTTAAAGAAAGAGCCCTTGTTTGGTGTATTTTGACGACCCCGTAAAATGCTTTATATATGTTGGGGGCGGAGGGTGTTAGAAATGACTAGAAGAGCAAACCCGCTTGTTTGCCAGGCTTTTAAATTCTGGAGAGCAAACCACCTTAGCTCGTATGCCCATGGGCTTTGGCTCTTTGCCAGTCACCATAAATATCCAGAGAATATAAGATAAACAAATAATGCAGAAGGGTGTTTCGCAAACAAGGAGGGGAGAGATGCTGGAAAAGTAGTGCAGCACACCCCCCAAGTCAGTTTTCAAGCCTCCGTCTGCAGGGAAAGCGGGCGCTGAGTTTGCAGGCTGCCGTGGAACGGAGAGGGCCTGCCTGATCCCCATTCAGTGGCTCAGACTGTGCAGCCAGGGGAGAGTCCATAGAAGAGCACAGAGAATCTATTTGGCTCCTTTCTGTGTCGCCTGACAAGAGAGTTATGAAGATCCTTCCTGGAACCTGGCCCTCTTCTAGCCATCAAAGTTCTCTTCCTGCTCAGCCCTCAGTTAGGAAGCAAGCTGAGCCAAGAGAAAGTGCACGGATGTTCACGGAAGTCTAGATGCACCACTGGCAACATGCAGCGCAAAGAAAAGTTTCAGGTCTAGTGTGCCAAAGAGGGATCCTATTTGCACAGTATTTGCATGGGCTAACTCCCTATTGGGTGCTTGCCCCAACAGCTGGATTCATGGCTACAAGAAGGCAAGACCAAGTCTGGGGAGCTGAGCCCCAGAATTTGACGGATCCCTCACCCATCACTGCCTGCTAACGCTGCAGCAATTTCCAGAGATCCGATCTTTGAAGCACACACTCTGGTATTCCTACACAGGATCTCCAAACCAGCGTGACACTTTTCCTACAATTAATTATGCGGGATAAAAATACAACAGATTCGAGAGAGCTATTTCCTTAAGGGTCTCACCAGACTTGCCCACTTTTTTCAATTTTTGGTAACCCCGATTTAGTGTCAAGAAATATGGATTTCCATTTTTTTAAAACTGCCCCCAGATGGGCATTTTGTCAAAGGCTAAAGCATGAAAATACTCATTTTGAGGGATTTGAGTCTGGTTGGGGACCATTTATGCATTTCCTGGTGTGCGATTTGCATGACTGAATTTGTGCAAATGCATGCAAATGTTAGTGCAAAATCCAGTTCTGTCAAGGAATGGACAATGGAAGGAAACTTGACCATTTGTGAAATGTGGGTGGAATAGATTTTTTTAAAAGACTGCGTATTTGGAGTGCAACAGCCCCCACAGGTCTTGATGGTTACAGTCTTCCGAGATGATATAATTGGTGAAAGGTAGCTCCAATCTGTGTAACTAATTGCACAGCAACCCAAAGCTAATAGTCATGACCAAGTTTCAGACAACCAGTTTCCTTATTGTAATATCTGAGGTTCAGAATGCAGGGTGAGCATTTCCTGTGGTTAAGGTAAAGGTAAAGGTTTCCCCTTGACATTAAGGCCAGTCATGCCTGACTCTAGGGGGCGGTGCTCATCCCCGTTTCCTGGCCGAGGGAGCCAGTGCTTGTCCACAGACAGTCTCCGTGGTCGTGTGGCTGGCATGACTAAACCCGGAACGCTGTTACCTGCCCACCGAAGTGGAACCTTTTTATCCACCTGCATTTGCATGCTTTCGAACTGAGGTTAAACATTCCCAAAAATCAAAGACAAGGTGACCTGAACTTACCTACACTTTCAAAGGGTTGTTACAACTTAAGAATTTTCAGCAGCTCACATAGGCACAGCTAAGGGTCAAAACAGGTTCATCAGGAATTCAAAATAGAGCTGCCAGGCTGCTGACGGGGTCCAGTCATTAGTCCCACATAACTCTGGTCCTCCACCAGCTACACTGGCTGCCGATGGAAGCCCAGGCCCAATTTAAGGCGCTGGTATTGACCTATAAAGCACTAAATGGCTTGGGACCAGGATACCTGAAGGAGTGCCTTCCCCCCTATGTGCTCTCCCACCCCTTGAGATCTGAGGCAGAGGTCCTGCTCTGGGATCCCTTCTTGAAGGACGTTAGGAGAGCAAATACGTGGAGAAGGGCCTTCCCTGCAGTGGCACCCCACTGTGGAATGCGCTCCCCAGAGAGGTTCACCTGGCACCAACGTTATATTCTTTTCAGTGCCAGGAAAAAACCTTTTTATTCACCCAGCACTTTAATATTTAAATATTTTAACTAGTTTTAATGGTCATCCTTTAGTCACATTTTATTATGCTTGTTGTATGTGTTGTTTTTATTTATTGTTATGTTTAATTATGTCATAAGCTGTCCTAAGACATTTATTAAGGACGTGGTAAAAGTATTGCAAATAAATAAAGTTCACATGCAGAATCTTCAGCAAGCATGGTTCCAGGCATAGCCAAGTCCAAGAGTCAGGATCAGACCAAGCTATTCTGAGGAAGGCAGGACGCGCTCCAACAGAGCAAAGCTCAAGGAACCGAGGTTCCATTTGGATGCCAGGAAGCAGTTCTTGCCAGTCAGGACCCCGAGGGTGTGGAATGGGCTTCCACAAGAGGCCTTTGAGGCCCCATCGGTGAGGGTCTTCAAGGATAAGCTGGATGTGCACATGGTTGGCATGTCGTGAGCGGAGCCAGCTGGTGCCGGAGGTCAGACTAGATGGCCCGGGAGGTCCCTTCTGACTCGCTCTGTTTCTATGTTTCTATTTGGGAATTCCAGGCTGTCAAAAGTGATGATTTGCAATCCCTTCCTGCTTGGTCCCTGGATCTTTGCTTGGCAAACAAGCATTAAAATGTCGATGTATTAAAGGAACAGGTGTGTTCTGTGTAACTACTCCAACTCCACCCACCACTGACCCAGAGCTAACACTGGTTCAGAATGAATGCAGCTGTGTAGAAACTCACATTTTGTAATGTAATCCACACACAAGCAACCCTACTGAATAGCCCTTCTGGGCATCGGGGGTAGTTTAGACTAGGCACTGACAAAGTCCAGCCTCCTGCCATATGCAGACTTTGTTGCTGAGTTTTTATTCAGTATTTATGAACCAAAACGTGCCTGGGGCACAAAAGTACCCCAACATCTCCAGAGGAATAGTTGTATGGGGTATTTTTATACCCCAAACAATAGGTTTCAGATGGTTTAATACTAATCATTTTGGTCTCTTTTCAGCTAAGATTCCTAGCTAAAACCTCCAGTAAACAGAGTTCAAATCCATTGATAAAAGCTTTCCTATGATTTTTTTAAAAAATTAATGGGCCAAGACTATTGTTATTCTGAGAAAAGGTTAGCAGATCAACCATTGTTATGCAGATTTTCTCATTTTGCATAGCCTCAGGAAAATCTTAAATTACCTTTACATGCTGAAAGTTGAAAAGAAAATTCCATTTAGAACAAAGGTTTTCGATATACAAAACTTTTCTCGCCTGAGGCACTTTCATCTGGGGTTAAAAATGACCCCAAATACAACCAATGCTCATTTTTGTCAGTGCAGGATGAGGGGTTCATACACGTGGGTGGGCAGAGAAATTAGAGATACTGTTTTGCTGAATGCCTCCAGGGTGAGTAAAAACAAGAAACAGCTTCTCTCAGGCATGGCTCACCATGAGCAATGCCAGGATCAAAAATTGATCATTTCCCCTCTGTGTTCCCCTAAATTTTCTGCCCCAAATGACAGCAGGAGCTTCTGGCTGCAATAGAGAATCTTTCTGGAACCTCAGACCTAGAATCTGTACATAATATGTCTTGTGACAAAAAGATGAGTCACTCTGACACAACTGCAAATAAGTGGAGAAAATTTGGTAAGATGTCCTTCTGGGGGGGGGGGGGGGGGATGAGCGAAAGAAAAATCAAGCTTGGATCAAGGAGGAAAGTCTTTGAAAAAATGTTGTCTTGCCTTCAGAATCTGGAAAGTAGAACTATGGCGACCGAGTAGGTCGTCTTAGGGAATAAAGGTGGCCACGCACATGAAGATCAATGTACATTTTTAGAGCTGCTATGCAGTCCTCTTTGGCAGGCGTCTGGTTTTGTTCCCCCTCGCTGTGTTACGTTTTAGCAGCCTGCTGGACATGCATAAGCAAATGAGACACAACTGCAGCCAGTTTAAATATTTTACAGCTCACTGCAATCCATATGACAGAGGATTTACAGGAATGAAGGGGGTTTGCCTCCCGCTCCAAAAACCTAATGCAGAGACAAATGCAAAACATACCTTGGAAATTTGACACAACGGGGTAGCTTTAGACAGAAATCAAGACAAATCGGGGCACAAAGATTTCCAACGGATTGCTCTGTCTTGATTTTGCTCACACAAATTCAAGGTGTAGATTCTTGTCTAGTTTTTCTTGAAAATTCAGCTACATTCCAAAGTATGCATACTTTTAAGCATTCAAAGTTTTAAGAGCTTTGCAGGTGCAGGTGGGAACACGTCTAATGCATTTGGCAAACTGTTTCTTTCAGGTTAAAGACTGCCAAGCAAAGAAGGTTGAAAAGTATTCAATTCTCTGTTGACTGATTCATCAATTGCATTTGGATATATCTGCATATTGCTAAACTTCAGTATTTGTGCCTTTTCAAGGAAATCTGAATTCAGAATGACAGTTAGCATTTAGACAGCATGTCAGCATACTAAGAGCATCCCCATAGATAATAATTCTGCTGTAATCCTTTCAGCAACTCCAAGGCGATCATTCAAACCAAGGTGCTTTCTGAATCGTAACTTCTAGCCATTATGCTTCACCAGCTCTCTGTTCCTCCTTTCAGTTTCTTTCTTGCACTCTACTCAGTACGGAACCACTGAAGTTGGTGAAACTAACCGCATTTTGCACAATCAGAGTAGGAACTGTAGAAAAACACTACCATCTGCCAAA